AATAAATATTGAAATGCAGGTTTTACAAGTACAACAAAAGAAAAATAGAAAATAATCATCACAGAAGAATCACAGAGGATAAGGACATTATTTTACTATAATACAAATAATATGAATATTGTTAGTTATTGATATGAATTTGAAACAAAGAGGAATAATGTAATGTATTAAAAATAACATTAGATCTATGGAGAAGAAAAAAATTAATATTTTTTTTTCACTTTTAACTTTGATTTTTATTTTCCACCAAATTCTTATCTTCACACTTTGGAACGGCTTGGGTGAAAGGTTTCCTTTTTCTACAGGTACATATATTTTTTATATGAAGGATTGGAAGACCTTCATGTATACCTTATTATGGTAAGAAGAAAAGGTGTATGGGAAGAAGAGAGGAGAAGGTTAGGGTTAGGTTTAGGGTTAGCCCCAACAATCAATCAGTCATTATTGTTAGTTTACCTGTATTAGCCTGAGCTGCGACCTGCTGTTGATACTGGAGGGATAATAAAACAAATTACAATGAAAGGTGAATGGTTCAAACTCTTCCAGAAAAAAAAAAAAACAGTGACAGATTATTTTATATATTGGAGTGTGGGAACAGTCACCAAAAAAAATTCAATCCCTAGCTTTTGCAGTCGGCGTAGTTAAGAACTCTCGGATCCAGTCATTAACATACTGACAATCTATATATTGAATCTTCCTAAGAAACAGCCCAGATGTAGCTGGAGATCTATCAATGGGCCCAAAAAGAGAAGTGAAGGGATTGTCTTAAAAATGAAGGTAACACTGATCTGACATAAATAGCCATAATTACAAACTGACCAACTGTTGATAGGAAGCAGCATCATGGGAGTCGGCTGTTACTGTTCCCATGGTACCCGCAGCTTGTGCTTGAGCCATAGCATTGGCTGCAACACTGGATGGTTGTTGAGCCTGTGATGTAGTGGGTTTTTGTGACCACTGTGCTTGTTCTATGGCAGCAGTAGCTGCTGTAGCACTGAAAGCAGAAATCATAGAACTTG